ATCTTATCTTATCTTATCTTATCTTATCTTATCTTATCTTATCTTATCTTACTCTATGCTACAGAAGCAGATATCTGCTACCAGTTCAATAATTAACAGTGATTACATCGACTTTATAAGCTTATTTTAATTTTGAATTGTTACGATATTAGCTTCAGTTCTGTTCAGATCACATCCACATTGAGGTAAATAAGATAAATTTCTTAAAAATATTTTATAATATTCTGTATGTGAAAGTCATGTTTCCTGCTAACAAACAAACATTTATAATAGTTTTGCAGTTTTAGTAAATCATAATGAAGCCCTTTGTTCGTTACAGGAAGTGGTTGGAGGAATGATGGACTTAGAGCCACGGCGCTGGAGAAAGCTAATAAGAGAAAATTTTGATGATCAGAGGAAAAAAGTCCTTCACTTCGCACAGTGGTGGAAGCCATATGACTGTACTAAGACTGAGGGTTGACAGGAAACAGAGTTATGGCCTGTGCTGAGCTTTAAGATGTGCAAACTGTGCTGTTTGCAGAGGAACATGTTGACATAGATTTACCTACAATTTCAGATTTTTGTTTAAATTCTTTTTGTTCCATAAAGAATCTGTAAATGATATAACATTTTTGCTGAAATAAAAAAGAACAATTGTTTTTTTAAGTTTGTTTTATGAATTTGTGACAGCACCAGCCTAGACATGAACATGTTGAACTTGGAGCTTTTTTGTGCAATTTTCACCCAATTTTCAGTCCTTTTTGCTGATACTGCTCCTCCCTGCTCCCTAGTTTAAAATGTAACTTCTTTCCTTTGTGGCCTCCTGACACTTTGCAGCTGTTGCTTAATTCTCGGAGGTTTCTGTGTCATCGCAGGCGCATTTACAAGWATGCACATGTGCGTCTCAATCCTCACCCATTGGTCCCCTTGAGCAGAAGCGATGCCCTGTCGAGCGAACTCGTCCTTTTATTTCCCTTTTCAGTGAGGGTTCTTGGCCCTTCGATTAGATCAGCACTTCAGAGGCTCACCTTATTTTTCAGGTTGCATCTCAGACACCATGTGATGATCAAATCAGCTAGCTTGTACTCAAAGCAAAAGAGTCATTGAAATCTAAAATGTGCTTTTTACTGCAATATGTACAAGTTTCAGGAATATATACTTGTATTTGCTGCTTTTTATAATCACTCCTCTTCCACACCTGTATAAGAACGATTATCACAGACTTTTTTTCTCAATGCAAAAGGAATTAAATATTTCTAGTCCCCAAGGTAATCTGTGTTCAAAGTGCAAAGCATAGTGTAGCTGTTGGCAGAAAAAAAACATGAGATATAAGGTAGTGTTAACTCTAGCATCATATGCAATTTGCTGCTCTTTAACCCTATTTGTTCCTTCAAAACCATCATTTSAGACAATATTATAGGTTATTTATAATCACACGAGTGCTGCAGAGGCACAGGTTCATGGGTAATGGCAGCCAAGTGGCGTGAAGTGATGTATAGTTATGGCCAATTAGATTGGCTTGTGGGGCAGATTTATGGTCGAGTTAGCTGTTTGTTTTTCCCTGTCCGCCTCTTTCACGCACACACTCATGTCCCTTCTACTGTCAGCCCTGGCAATAAGCTGTTGAAGTGAGTTTAATTTAAACGTTTCTCTCTTTGCATTCTGCCATTTTTTTAATGTTTAGGTCTTCCTGCATCAGTATAGTGATGTGATGTGTATCTTAAAGAAAGACTATATCTTGTCCTTACATTTCTCAACATTCCTTCCAACATCTCTTGCCACATCAGTCGCAAATCTTTACAGCCACTTGGGTTTGGCTAAATGGTTTGTATCAAAGGAGATTCTTGTTTTAGAACTTTAAAACGTACTTATGGTTTTATTGTTATGTGCGTTTACAGGCTTGACCTTTTTTTCTTTTTAATGTTCTGTGAAATATGAGCCGTTTCCTGAAGAATTCCAGCTCTTTACATGTAAATGCAGTGTTAGATCAACGGTGAGGATTTAAAACTGTTAGCAAAATTTTTTTTTAATTTCATCTCATGTGCACTTGAACAAACCCATTTATTGCACGAGGCATTATTACCTGATACGCAAATACTACAAAATGCTTAATAAATCATGATTAGAGTTGACGTCTTTTTTTATTTGTGAGATTTTGATTTGGATTATGTGTTGATGTTCAAATGCAACCACATCCAATTTTACCCCAGTGTCTGTAAAACTGACTGATTTATATAGCCATTTAATTTTGGCTAATATTGATTAGTTGTAGCATCCATCTTGAGTTGGATTGACTTCAATAGTTAAATCAGGAATGAGCAACTTGAATGACTGAAAGGGGCACAATTTTTGTCGACACTACCGGAGAGCCAAATAGCGCTGCACACCCATGTTAGGTTTGCCTTGAAATTCGTTGTACAACCAATGATTACTTTCTGAGAAATTCATTTAAATCATTTCATTGTTTTTAAAAGATATTTTATACAAACACAAGCCTTGGTGGGTGATAAGCATGAATAATGCTTTACTTCTGGTTTTTATTGTGTATGTCAAATATGGACCATTGGCTCTTTATTTCAAGTTTAACTGCCAGTTTTTCTCTTTATTTCCAGTCACTGAGACTCAGGGTTGAATTGCGTCATTATTTTCAAGATAAAGTTATTAAATTTGATCTTGTCTGTGATATGTGTAGCCACTAAATGAAATTACCACGGTACACCAAGAGCTGCCCTTTTGTGTCTTGTGGCCCGTCTGCACTCGGCTATTTTTGGCCAGCGGCCAGCTCTCTGCGGCCCCTCTCTGCTTGTGGGCTTATCATCTTCAGAACATAATTTATTTCATTGTGGTGTTGGCTTTATTAAATGCCCACATTATTACAGACGGACCGCAGACTGATTGCTAAGAGCAAGCGACCAGATAAGGGAAGAGAGGCAGAGTTAGTGCAGGATGTGTGTGGGTGTTTGTTAGAAAGAGGGAGAGAAAGAGAAGTCTGTGTGGTGAATTGGGGTCATGTTGCTCCTAAGAGTCCAATAAATTGGCGGGAACCTTCAGGAAATTACGCAGGGAAGTGTGCGTGCCAACATGCGTGCAATTGCATGATGGGTCATGTCTGATTCAGTATCTCTCTTTCTGTCGGTTTATTCAGGCCCCATAATTAACAGACATGCTGTGCCAATTGAGGTCAAGGTTATAGTTGTTGTTAGTGCCAGACAAGAGCATCATTCTGTCCTCTGATGGAGGTCAACGAGCAGCAAGCTCCATTCTGCCCTTGGAGACCAGTGCTTAGCTCATCAGGCACATATATACATATCCATGGCCTGTTGACCAAAACATTTGTTTTACTACATTAGAATCAAATGGGTTTCCATTTAATTAAATTGAAAATTAGTCGCTTTGTTGCCTTTTAAGATTTCAGCATTACAATGAGTGTTTAAAAGTGATAATTTTCTCCTCATTTCACTGAATGTGTAACAGGAGATTTTGAAACAAGCTTGATATGTATCATGGTTGCGTAATTGTGTTGACCAAGACAAGAACTTCACCTAGCTAAATGATGAAATTACTTGGGTAATTAATTCTGTAAGGAACTGTATAGAATTGGGATCATTGCTACTAAAGCTTATAGCCTATGTTAAATGATGAAACACTCTTACAGATTAACTTCACAAAACAAACCATTGAGATAAAGTGGGGTGTGAATGTTTGGGCAGCCTTGTTAATTTTCCTGATTTACCTTTATAAATCATTGATTGTTTGGATTTCAAAAAATCAGTTAAATGTATCATACAGGGGACAAACATGGTGATATTTGAGAAGTGAAATGAAGTTGATATGATTTACAGAAAGTGCAATAATTGGTTAAACAAAATTAGGTGGGTGCATAAATTTGGGCACAAAAAAATTAACTCAGTATTTAGTAGATCCTCCTTTTGCCAAAACAACAGCCTCTAAATGCTTCCTACAGCTCCTAATGAGAGTCTGGATTGTGTCTGAAGGTATTTTAAATCATTCTTCTTTACAAAACATCTCTAGTTCATTCAGGTTTGATGGTTTCTGAGMATGGACAGCTCTCTTTAAGTGAAACCACAGATTTTCAATAATATTCAGGTCTGGGGACTGAGATGGCCATTCCAGAACGTTGTACTTGTTCCTCTGCATGAAGGCCTCAGTAGATTTTGAGCAGTGTTTAGGGTCGTTGTCTTGTTGGAAGATCCAGCCCCGGCTTCAGCAGCTTCAGCTTTGTCACTGATTCCTGGACATTGGTCTCCAGAATCTGCTGATATTGGTTAGAATCAATGCGTCCCTCAACTTTAACAAGATTCCCAGTCCCTGTAGTGGCCCCACAGCCCAACACCGTGATGGAACCACCCCCACATTTTACTGTAGGTAGCAGGTGTTTTTCTTGGAGTGCTGTGTTCTTTTTCCTCCATGCATAACGTCCCTTGTTCTGCCCAAATAACTATTTTTTAGTTTCATCAGTCCACAGCACCTTATTCCAAAATGAAGCTGGCTTGTCCAAATGTGCTTTAGCATACCTCAAGCAGCTCTGTTTGTGATGTGGGTGGAGAAAAGGCTTCCTCTGCATCACTCTCCCATACAGCATCTCCTTGTGTAAAGTGTGCTGAATAGTTGAACAATGCACAGTGACTCCATCAGCAGCAAGATGATGTTGTAGGTCTTTGGTGCTGGTCTGTGGGTTGACTGACTGTTCTCAACATCTTCACTTCTGTTTATTGGAGTTTTTCTTGGTCTGCCACTTSGATCCTTGACTTGAACTGTGCCTGTGGTCCATTTTCTCACAATGTTTCTCACAGTGGAGACTGAAAGCTGAAATCTCTGAGATAGCTTTCTGTATCCTTCCCCTAAACCATGACGGTGAACAACCTTTGTTTTCAGCTCATTTGAAAGTTGTTTTGAGACTCCCATGCGACCACTCTTCAGAGAAGATGCAAAGAGGAGAAAAACTTACAATTGCCCCCTTAAATACCCTTTCTCATCATTGGAGTCACCTGTGTATGGAGTTCAAGGGTCACTGAACTTACCAAACCAAATTTGAGTTCCAATAATTAGTTCTAAAGGTTTTGAAATCAATAAAATGACAACAGTGCCCAAATTTATGTACCTGCCTAATTATTGCACACTTTCTGTAAATCATATAAACTTCATTTCATTTCTCAAATATCACTGTGTTTGTCCCCTATATGATATATTTAACTGATATTTTTATCCAAACAATCAATGATTTTTAAAAGTAAATCAGGAAAATTAACAAGGCTGCCCAAACATTTGCACCCCACTGTAGCTTATGAGTCCATAAGACACCATCGAGCAATAATCTTTATAATCTATCTTTAAATTGAACTCTTCTAACAAGCTGTTAGAATCATGACTGATTTTTTGTCTTTTAACCCTAATAATTTCCTTTGCAAATGACTATTTTGTCTGCTGGTAAATCCATTAATATTTGGTGTTAATGCACTCTTCTTTTATAGGGTGGATATTCCTGAATAGACATCATGCTAGACCAATAGAAATCAAGTTTTTAAACAAACAAAATTAGCTTGTTGCCAGTCTGGTGATAAGTTGCACATTTCAAAGGCCAATTAATCAATTTGGGGCTTTTCAAGAAATTGTTAAAATAGCTTCTCGGGATCGAAAAATCCCTTAATATGACTCATTTTGTGAGCATGTCGTAGTATTTGTTTATTGCCAGTCATTTCTGTTCTCCAGACCTCCCATGTGTTGTGTCAGACCCCTACAAGAACTACTGAGCCCTGTGATACAAAGTGCCACTTCTTCTGGCAGTCACATTGTCTAAACTTCTTTAAATATTTCTTGGACTTACAAGTCAAAAGGGAGAGCAGTAAGTTTGTCAAGGGACCAATCAGAGCCCGTCTGGTGAGGTTGGATAAAATATGTGGCCATGAGATAATTTTGAACAGCCTATAGTGACTCTTGTCAAGAATTACTCAATGCCTAACCACAAGTGACTGAAGAATGCCATTGCAATTCATTTTAAAATCAAATAAAATTAATTCAAACTTGTCCATGTCAACACTCAGCATCATGGAAATGACTGCAATGTGGCCCCAAGTTATTATCTTGTGCCCAGGAGCTAATTAATGTGTGGGCACACATTATTAGTATTTTTTAATCCATTATCACCATGATGGTTTCTACTACAGGTGCTGGTCATAAAATTAGAATATCATGAAAAAGTAGATTTATTTCAGTAATTC